GGGCTGAAGGCGTGCCGGTCCAGCAGCACCCGCTCTGAGGTGGGGGGTGCCTTGTCCACAAACATACGCTGCCAGTTGGCCAGGAGGTCCTCCTCGGAGCTGGCAGAGCTGGCAAAGGCGCTCGGGATTTGGGGAGGGCTGCTGAATGGGCTGCTCTGGGAAGAGCCGTGAGCCCTGGCCGCTTTGGGGGACTGCTGACAGGAACAGCTAGAGGCTGAATGGCGCCCTTCTGAAGCAGGGCTGTTGGGGAGCGTCCGGTGCCTGTCGCAGCTCTCATCTTCACTCTGTACGAGGCTGAGGGAGATGGCCTGGCGCGTAGCATATGTACAGTTGGGCAGGGGGCTGTTCTTTGGGATCCTTACCTTGTCCTCAGAGAACTCAATCACTTTGCGCCCAGGGTACATAGGATGGGGAGGTGAGGGCGTAGGGTACGGGCTTAGCTTCTCAAAGGCAGGCACCTCCTCTGGCACGCTTTCCACACTGCTCTGCGGCTTGCAGCCACCATTCTGCTGTTTCCCCGCATCTCCTCCCTCCTTCCCCATCTGCACTGCGCTGTTGCAGGCATCAGGAGGGGCTCCACTCATGTCCACATGCACAAAGACATCCTCAGCCATGGGACAGCTGCCACTGCTAGACTTGGCTGAATTCAGAACCAGAGATTCTGGTTTCTCCAAGACTCTGGCAATGACTGAGGTGGGCACAACATCAGATGGAGCCAAGGTGTGGGTTGCCTCTTGACCAGGGCCTGCGGACTCCTGAGTGTTGTGCAAATGCTTATTGACCATGTCCTGCAGCTCATAGGGAAGCTAGGGAGAAGGAAAAGGACATTAGAAGGGGGCTGCCACACAAGCCATTTAGTTCGAAATAAACTGCCTTTTCCAAACAACCTTCATGTGTACTTTGTACTTCTTATCTTGGCCCTAACATTCACCTACCTCGCCTTGAGAAAGGTGTCTGTTTCCAAAGCAAACCTGCTCCACGAGGGACTAACAAAGCTCTCTAGCTGTCACACCAGTTGCGTTTCTAGGCCATGGTTGACAGGCCCCACTTTACGAAGAGAACAAGAAAACACAGCACACGGGCTCAGTCCCCCACGCCTGTGAGCACACAGACAAGGCCCAGTCAGCGCATGCTAGGAAGGGGTCTATTGATCTGTGGAAAATCAGCCGGTGGTTGCACTGAAGTGACTCAACAGCCCCCAGTGCTGGGATCCGCAGCGCTCCCCAAATGCAGCAATTGCAGCCATGCTGCCTTGGCAGCCTGCCCGCAGACCAGAATCGATGCCTTCCCTTGTTCACACCAACTCCACCACCTCATCCCACTTCCTCACTCTCTCCATTTCAGAGAGGCAAGCATGGGGTTTATTACCAAAGCTGCAGGACTGGGGTGTCAAGAGGGGATAAGCACTGCTCCTTGCCCTGCAAATGGGCACTGCTGCTTTCCCCATCACCCTGACAAGCTGCCTTCACCTTGGTCACCACACCCATGCAGAGCATGAAGTGGTGAGCAGAGCTCCACAACCCACTCAGTGGCACAGCAGGGTCTGTCCCATCACAGCCAGAAGGAAACTGCGTCCAAAGCTGGGGATGCAGAACACACTGCATGAGAACAGCTGGCTGTGAAGCAGACTGTCTGCACAGCTGCTCAGCACCAATCCCCCTCCAGCGGCAGCCACATGGGACGCGGCGCTCTGGGGGGCAGAATGCAAAGCCCCAGGGAGGGGAGACAGCTGGGAGAGAGGTCAAGGTTACCCCAGCAGTAACTGATACATTGACCTCAAGAGTGCTAATTTGAGACGCAATGGGGGAGGGGGAGGGTGACACACTGGTCACCTGCTAAGTTAAAAAAGACAAGCACATGGTTTCACTGAAAGGAACACAAGAAGGGATGGAGACTAGGGGTATGGCAAAGAGAGAGCTGGGGTAAGGGCCTGAATGATACTTCCAACCAAAGAAGTGATGCCACTAATATGAAAGGCCTAAACTCTGTCTTTGCCCAACCTGAGGGCAGGATGAGCTTAACAGACCCCATAAGGGCGAGTATGAGCTGGTACCAAATCATCCCATTCAGAAGACCTAAAAGACACCCTGAAGGCTGCCTCCCACATTTCTCCTCAGAGCAAGTAGTGAGGCAGGGCCAGACTACTGCTGCTTGACTCCTTATCAGGCAGTGTGGCCCTTCCATGTGGCCAGGTGAGGAAGGGAAGAGGACAGAGCAGGGTAAGAGAGAAGTCTGTCCTCCTGCCAGCTCCCATCAGGCACCCAGCAGGCTATCAAATTCAAGGTTATTGTGCTTTTTATAACAGCTCCTGGCTGAGCTGTGAAATGGAGCTGGCATGAAAGAGGAGCTGGCAGAGGCTGTGTGCTGCCTTCTCAGTGGGAGTGGGAACAGGAGCCCCCCCACACCTCTATCTGAGGCTGAAGGATGAGAAGCCAACAACCCTGCAGAGAAAGCTGGAGAAAGCAAGATGCAGGCAGAGACCATGAGCCTTTCTTCCCCACCTCAGCAGGGCTGCTACTCACATCAGCAAACTTGTGGTTCCTGAAGTGGGACTTGTTACACTTGAGCAGCTGTACTGCAAGGTTACAGTCCTGTCGATAGCGTTCCTGCAAGAAAGGGCACAGGTGTGCAACAGTGTCAGACCAGCCTGATCTCTTACCCAAAAAGGCACCACCTGACCAGATGCTGTTTGAACAGAAGCAGGAGGAGTCATCTGATGAGGGCACCTGCCATTCCTTCTTCTACACACCCCGTCTATTTTCTTACAACTCAGCCAAGGTGTCCCTTTCAACTCCAGCCCTTGCTCCAGGCATATACTCTGTCAGCATATCAACTCCCTCTCCCTCTGGGGATTTTAATAATCTCCAGAAGTCCCACCAGATTTGCTATCCCATCCCAGAGCTCTCAGCCATGCCTGAAGACACTGCCTGATGTCAGGCATCTTGCAGACAGACTGGAGGGAGTTGAGAGCGGTTAACAGAAACAAGCACTGGACCCAGGAACTTCTATATTAATGGTGTAGAAAAGGCATCAGCTCCCTCCCAGCTCTAGAGTAAATGACCCCTATGTTGGTACAGGCTGGACTCAGGTCAAACCTTAAGCTCAAAATAGCAAATAGATCAAACTTGAAGATCAGTTCTTCCTTGCTCAACCCCTCAGACCCTTTTCTGTTTGTCCCTGCTGTTGTGTGCAGCTCCCACACTTTCATACACACTGAAGTAATTCACATGTTCCTTTACACTAATGACTTTGAACAAGAGGAAAAACCCACACCTCACGCACTTCCACAGCCATTTGCAGACTGACACTTACATTGAGTTCCTCCAGCTTATTGATGGTGGTTTTGGCATCAAGCAATTTATTTGTGAGCTCTACAATCTCCCAGTCCAGCGTCTTGCGGTCCATCTCTGCCTTTTTAATCTGGGATGCAAGAAGACCAGGTGTAAATCTTCCCAGCACAGAAGAACCTGGCTTCACCACCCACCTCAGCCCAACCATAGCACAATGACATATTCAGCTGGGATACAAAAAATTCCAGACAGACAGACAAGGGGGACAGCCTAGCTCTTCACCAAGGGAGGGACTCCAAAAGCCAAATGGAGCCAGCCACTCTGCTAGTTACAGAGACAACAGGCTGAGTTTGAACCTCCTTAATGCAGTATCTTTCTTGCAGCACAACCATGTTTCCTCTCTGCCCTGGTTCACATGGTGCCCGGTAGAAAGCTAGTGGTTTTGAGCAGTCAATCCCATGCTGCCACCGGCAGCAAAGACCTCTGAGCTTGTGATACTTAGCCCTCTTCTCTGGTGCAATAGAATGAGAATACTGCCCATAAAGATCCAGCAGTCAATGCTGAATGGACAAAAGGTTTGTTTGGCAGGGAGAGGGCACCATCTTGAAAGAGCTCAAGCCGTACTCTAGTAAGAAAAAGGACCTGTGCAGCTTCATCTGGAGCTCAGTTAATGCCTTCCCTAAAGCAGGCAATCTTGCCTCTTTACACTCCCTAACAGTTCAGGTACAGGGCTGATAGAGACCCAGATGTAACAGCAGAGAGGTGCAGCAGCTCAGAACAACCAAGCCACCCTCTTCTCCAGAAGTTCCCCCAACACTTCCCGAGGCTGCTCTGAGGCTGTGACCCACCAGGGCCCAGCTGTGCATCAGGGGTACAGCACAGCGACACACAAGGGGGTAGGGGAGGGCAATGCTTCCCACATACGCAGTCTCTTCAGGCACCAGCACAATGAATATTAACCCAAGAAATTCAAGTGCTAGAACGAAACAGATCTCATCCTGGGCCACACGGAGGCAATCAGAACCTCAGCTGTTTGACTTGCCTTCTCACAGCCCAGAAGGGGAAGGAAAGGGAGTAAACGAGGCTCAGAGCCATCCACATCTTGTGCAGTGCCACAGTTTATGGGCACCACTTCCCAGCACGCCATGCTCCAGCTGGCTCAGAGTCAAACGCTCTTAAGATGGAGCACTGCAAGCTAGGACCTGCTGCATCTGCGGGCAGCTGCTGGATACCAGGTGAGCCCTTGGCTGGACGAGGGCTGGGGCCCCTCCATCTGGGATGGTGTATGTGGGACTGACAATGAAACCAACAGGCTAAGACACGTAAAGAGGAAAAAGAAAAAACACACAAACGAAAAGACGCAACTGCAAAAATCCAGCTTTGGCTGAGAGAGGCCTGAGAGGTGAGTGCACCCAGCGTGTGCCAGCGGCAGCATGGGGAGAAGAAAGAGAGAGAGAGGGGGGGAGGGAGAGAAAAGAAACAGCCATGAGTGTTATGAATGCACACAACAGACATACACGCACATTGGCTCTGCTCTGACTGCCCCCATCCTCCCAGGATGACCACCCCAAGACTGGCTGACACATCCCTGTCATTTTGAGAGGGACTGAAGCAACATGACGGAATACCATGCAATTATGTTGTGGGGAACCAAAGCTCACATGCATGACCAAGTAGGGGCTCAGTAAATCAAGAAACCAGTTCATGACACTAGCCGGAATGGGGAGTAGATGGTCACGGCCAGAATCTCACCCCTCACCCACTGCCACATCTGCTGGGTAAAGCCAGGACCCCTTCCCCCATCTGCTCCTAACACACAGGTCTCTTCCACCTCCTCTCTGTAGTGTCTTAATAGGGCACTTACCAGGGCATGCAGCTTCTCCTCCAGGTCTTGGTTGGTTCTCTGGGAAGCAGTGTAGCTGTTCTGCAACCTACAGAAACAAGATATACATGGGAATGGATCTCAGGCACCTACTCAAGTCCCCTTCATAGCTGTCAAGCAAACCATCAACTCCACAACTCCAGAAGGATTGGTATTCACAGTACTAAGACAATCAGGCATATTAACTATGCCTCACCTCTGCCACATAATGGCCTTCAGATCCCAAGTTACTGAAGGCAAGATAAGGTTGGCTGGGTGAAAGGATCTTGCAGGGGAGGGTGCGAATGACTCTGGAGGACTCCTCTGAGCTATGTCACGTATAAGGATGTGACCAGTGACTGATACTGATTTTTAACTGAGGTACTTTTCAGGTAAAGCGGTGATGTATTTTCTTGCAGCCATCAGTGGCTCCTTTTGCACATGTGGGGTAACCATCCAAGCTGGATCCTGCCTTACATCCAATAGATGAAGAATTCCCTGTTTTTGTCAGCCCCTCGCACTGGCAGCATTCCTACACTGTACCCTGGAGGAAGTAATGGCTGCAGAGCCTTTAACTCCCCTGCAGTCTAGAGGTGCACCTTTCTGAGGATGCAGCACGCCTTTGATATACACAACAGGGCACAGCTTGCTCAGCTGAGGGAGTCCTCGGTGGGAGGGATCTCTCTAACTCTACCCCTCTCATTTTCTTTTTCATACCTACGGAATTTGTCCTTGAATTTCTCCAGCTCCTCACGGTTCTGGCCCAGCTCCATCTCCAGGTAGTCCTGACCTGACTCCAGCTCCCTCTCCATTGCCTCCATTTTGTTAGTCACATATGTCAGCCGTCGGCGCAGCTCCTCATTCTCATGCTGCAGTAGCCTAGGGCACACAGAACAAGGTACCACTGAGTGCACAAGGGGTACTCCACACCAGCACCCCCACCCCACCGCCCTGCTGTAGGGCCCAAGACCCCACACAGGGGCCCCAGAAAGTCAGGAACTGAACTGGCAGGAGACTCCAGCACACACAGCAAGAGGTGCATCTCTGTCAGGAGAGGGAAACTCAAACCCTCTTGGAGCAGGGGCAAAGAAGCACATGCCAGCTGGCCAGCCACGGCTCCCAGCTCCCTCTTGGGTTACAGTGCTTGGATAAAGCCCACTAACCAGATGAGCTGTGCAGCTCCAGTGTCCCTCACTGGTGAATGAAACTCACTCAATAATTTATCCCAGTCCAGGTTAGAGTTGAAGGCAAAAAGAGTAAAATCATCTTCTCCCCTCGTGAAACTGTTCAAAAGCCCTCACATCTTTAAAACATGGTAGAAAGAGGACTCCATGAAGCCTTAAACCCAGAAACAGAGGTGGTGGAGTGCGTTTACAGATGTGATCACAGCTGCCAGTCAATGCCATTCCAACACAAACTGCTCTGTTCCTCCCCAGCCAGGACATGCCTGGTGGTCAGAAGGATTTCCTGTTGTTTTTCATTCCTTTGTGCTCAGTTGCTCGGAGAAACCCAAAAGCACGGCTTCTCTCTGGCAGTGCAAGCTTTCTCCTCACTATGGCTTGGAGCTCAGTGCTAGCAGCTGTCTGTGCCCCACACCACCACCAGCAAAGGGCTCAGCTCTCACCCTCAGTCAGCAGCAGGCCTTCTGGTGGCTTATACCAAAACAGTGGCAACAACAAGAAGGGTTAAAAAAAGGCACTCCTCTCTCCAACTGTATTAAAGGCTTCATCTCCTACTTTCTTTCGCACCCACCACCAACTCCTCTGCCCGCACCTGCACTGGGAGTCTATGTTCCCTCCCCCTCCAGGGGGAGAGACATGCGAGGCAGAGGTTGGCAAGGTACAGACTAAAGCTCTGCCCACATGGCCCCAAGAAGATTGAAGATCTGAGAGGAGCCCACAGGGCCAGTCAGCTTGGCTGTGCAGGTGGCACAGGCAGGATGTGAGGAATCGACACCCATGCAGTTGCAGTATGACAGGCATAAAGGGGGAACAGGACACTTACTTCATCCTTTCTGCATCCGTCAAGGGTTCCTGCACAGGGAAGAAAACAGCTGTGAGATTCTTTCAGAGGAGGAGTTGGTCTCTCACACTGTCCTAAAGGGCAGAGTCTTGGTTGCTAGACCCTACCTGTGACTCTTCCTCACCTGCTCTGACAGGTCATGTTAGGCAAGCTTAGAGCTGCTAGGATCTGTACACACCGCTCAGCTGTCTGATACCAAGACAGACTGTGTGTTCTGGTTCAGGGTAGAAGAACTAGACTAGAAACCACCACACAAGTTAGGTAATTTTACTCTCCCACGGTGCAATCTCAGCGTCTCTTGCAACATCATCACCTTAGCTGGTGTTTCAGCTTCCTCCACATCCACATTTAGTGGGCAGCAGGAATCACAGGCCAGCATACACTGAGGATTAAATTGTCACCACAGCAATCGCAACACTCTTGAAGCCCCACAAAAAGAATGAGAGAATCATTGGGGAGCTGAAAAATGTGTCTACCATTTACACCACCCAGACTGTGCTGTGAAAAGGGATTCTTTCTGCAGACCTGAAACCAGCCATTGTAACTATTCTGGGATAGCAGAAGAAACACCAAAGGTCAGAAAAGCCTGTGAAAGAAATTAATGTTCTGGGCAAGATCCCCAGAGATGGCTGGAGCAGGGACCTGCAGAACAAGGAGACACAACACAGTGACAAGAGCACATGGCTCAGCTATTCTCACTTCCTTTGCACTCTCTGCGTTAACCTGTGAGATGGCTGCTGCCTGCCAGCGCACGGGGAGAGATTTAAATAGCACTAGAAGCAACCGCATCTTGTGTGAAAGCCCAAGACTGTGACCATTCTCACAAAGTCCAAGCTGCTCGTGGATAATTTTTGGTGCTTGGTACCAACAGCACTGCACAAACCCGAAGTGCTGCCACACTTTAGATTGTCCATTAAGTGTCACAGTCAGTTCTAGGCTGAGAGGCCATGCCACAGACAGCTGTGGATGAGGGGGTTGAGCTGCTAGCAATATTACAGAAGGCAAACCATCCCAGCCCTGGCCCTAAGACATAATAGGGTTGCTTCCTTCATCAATTCACACTTTAAAAGAATGGTCCTTGCCACCTGCATACATCCTCGTGTCCCTAAAGGCAAAAGCATCAATCCATCCTTTTCTTACCTCCTGACCCCACGTGGCAATTGGTTAATTCATGCAGAATTATCTAGCAACTGCCTCCCCTACCCCCACAAATACACATGCAGCAGATGCTAGTGACCAGGCAAAGCAGATAACATGATTCCTATTAAAACAAGATGATGGCCTCAAAGCAGGCTGAAGAAAAAGAGGAGAAGGCTTACAAAGACCTGAAACTGCCATCATATAAAGATCCAGTGCCCCAAGACAGCCAGGCACAGGGCACACACAAAGCACCAGGAGCATCCCAACACCTCCTGACAACAGAGCTGCCTGCCTCTCACACAGGCCTGCTGCCCCGCAGCCCGGAGGACCTCCAACCTGCAAACACCTGGGAAGTCTGCAGTGGGGAGAACAGCACTGGCTCCTGTCTTCCTAACTCCTGGGGCTAAAGGGAAGCTGGTTCCTCCCAGGAAGATATACCCAACCTGGAGCACAGCCATGAGTGGCACCCACAAGAGAGCAGCTTCTGGTGATTAAGCACCCACAACATGAGGTCTGGGGGCTCTCACTCTCGCCACTGACATTACAGACTAGATGAGATCCAGGTGGGGGCTTTGGCCTTTGTAAGACCCCTGTCTGTGAGCCGGTGGCCCTGGCACCTACCTTGTTTAGTGCCAGGCTGAAGGAAGGGGAGGATCTAGATGGGGTAGGCCCCTCCTCTCGACTCCAGCGTGTTGGAGTGGAGAAGGATCCTTTCTCTGGGTAGTTCGGCTCCACTGCACGTTTCTGCCCAAGTTTAGCACACAGATCGTGTGGCTGTAATAGCTGTGAACAGGGAATGCTTTCATCCCTTCTGCCCTCTGCACTGCTTTTCCATGAAGACAGTGAGTGCTGCTGCCCAGAGGATGTCCCTGACAGCTCCAGGTCTGCCAGCTGCTGCAGCTCATACTGACACAGATCTACTACCCTTCTCTCCAAGGAAAGTTTTTCCTTACTGTCCTTCCTCCCATGGATGGGTTTCTTTCTTAGTTTGGAAGCTCTCTCAGCCTCCTCAGCACACTTTCTCTGGCACAAAGCCATTCCCAGCCCCTCACATTTCTTTTCTGCTTTTCTTCTGCTTGGGCAGGGGGATCTTTCAGTTGCATGCTTGGTTTTGACCCCTTGCAGGTGACCTTCCCTCTGGCCTTCTGGCACAGAACTTCTAGGGAAAAGGGGAGAGCTCTGGTCTTGTCCTGCTCCCCTGGTCTCTCCCAGTGAGCGCACGCGGATGGGGCTCAGCACCCGCTGGGTAATCTCATCCAGGAATTTGGAGAACTGCAGTTTTTCCTCTGTGATCTTCTCCCTGCGCTTGACAGAGTCAGCGGCACTGCTGCTGCTGTGCTCCAGTGAGCGCTTCTCACTACGGCTGAGGCAGAGCTGAGGATCACTGTACTTCCATGAGCCACGGCCACGGGAAAGCATCTCTACTGAGCGGGACTTGCGTAAGCTCTCAGGGCATGGGCCTGTCATGTTGGTCTGCTTCAGGATTCCTTTGAGAGGCAGGTGTGTAGAAGAGACCCGAAACTTCCTCGGTGTCAGGACTTCAGGAGGCTCTTTAAACATAAGCGAGCGTTCCAGGCTTCTGCTCTTGAGAGAGCAAGTGGGATGGTCTCTTTCATCTCCAGACACCACAACTGTCTCCATGCTACGGCTCACAAATTTGCTGAGGTGCCCCTGACCGCGGTTTGGGCACCGCTTCCCACTTCGCTGCCCCATCTTCCCACTACGTGGAAGTGCTGGTGAGACAGTCTGGCTCTTGATGTTCAACTCTGCTCTGCACCCTGTCACTTCCTTCTCACTGCTGGACTCCAGGGACCACGATGAGGAGAAGTTCAGGTTGCACACCTCAAACCCCTCTGCCTGCTTGAGCTGGCCTGTCTTGGTGTAACTAAACCCTGTTTGCTGGTGCAACGGTGTTAAGCCCTTTGCCACCCGGCAAGCCGTTACCTGACTCTGCTCGGCCAAGATCACTCCATCCTGGTCGTCACGAATGATGGGTACCTCGTGGCGGATCTCACGATGCTGTGGGGGTGCCTTGCGGTAAGGCTTCTTTGATGAAGCTGTGCTCGACATCCTCCCACCTGCGTGGCTCCAAAAGCAGGTTACCTACCAACAGCAGAAAGTGCACAGAAGAGAGAGTCACAGGCGCTCCATTGAATCCTAGAAGTGACCCAGCAGGCA